GGGGCAGGCCTACAAAACCCCTTTATAGCGAGAAAATAAGCTCTCACTAAATGTCCAAACCTTCCGTAGACGCTGTCAGGAGCTGCGTTGCACGGCGAACATGTTCGCGCCCCTTCACGTTCGCGCGAACAGCTCGCGAACATGTTCGGGCGAACATAATTTTTTCCGTAAAACAAAAATAAAAAAAATCCTTCTGTTATTTTTAACTCGTGATTGGCTACGAATTTGAACATGACTCCAAGGCAAAAGTTGCTTGTATTGTTATTTTACATAACATATATGTTTTTTGAGATTTTTCTGAGAACGTTTAAAACGCGAACACGGTGCTACGTAGGTCAGGAGTAGTAGACACGAAAGATGTCCATGAGATAGGCATTCCATTTTACTATTGGAAACAACCTGTAGGATAATGCCTATGATGTTGTATGATGACTGACAAAGCTAGAGGAAGGATGGATAGGGCCATGTTCGTCCCCTTACAGATTCATACATGTATTGATAGCTAAAACCTATGTTACACCCTGTACGCGTACGCAGGGAGTACGAGTACGTACTCTGGAGTACTCGTACGTGCTAAAAAACACGCGTGCGCGTGCCAAAAAAAAAAAAAAAAAACAGAAAAAAAGTATGTTATGCAAAATAATAATACAAGCAACTTTTGGCTGGGAGTTATGTCGGAATATCTAACCAAATTGGATTTAAAAATCAAAAACTATAAAAAAGTAATAAATTATTATTAGTTGAAAATAAGAGTACGTACTCCCATATATGTACAAAGTACGTACTCTGAGGAGAGTACGTACTCATACCCCACGAACATGTACGCAGTGCAACACAGGCTAAAACAAAGAAATATAGGAGAACGGGTACCAAGGATCTCAAAATAAAATAATCTAAAAATTAATAACATATACTTCTAGGAGAATCCAATATTACATCACAGAGAATAGTCTACTTTTATGAGAATAATGTAATGAACCCAGTCCGATAGATACTCAGAAGTCGTCAAACAGCAGTAGTCTCAGTACCTGCAACAAAGTCTCCAAATCGTGAAGTGATATCTCAAACAGTATCTTATTACCATTAGACGAAGAGAGTGGAGGGGGATTAGACAGAGGAGAAGGTGGAAGAGATGATATAAGATCATACGAGAGTAGTCCTGTCAAACCCCTCTCCTTCTCCGGGCTTCTTCCCTCTCCACGTCAACAACCAGTAGATGATAACAAGTATAGTAATCCTGATCGCACACAATAGTGCCACGTGGCACTCTTACCTCGTGAAGACCATGAAGACACAGCAGATTTCAGTAACGACGTCAACCTCAGATGAGTATCCGACCTCCCTCATCCACAGATCCCGATCTTCCTCCTCCTCGCAACCAGTCACCTCATGTAGACAGCGTGGACAATGCCACGTCAGCAGCCGGGACAGGTGGCATACGCCACATCATCAATGAAGAACAGTGGCACGCACCACATCAGCAATGCAGACTAGTAGCAGCACCACATCATCATGCAATGTAGACCAGAGGCAGCGCCACATAGACCAGAGGCAGCACCACATCAGCATGCACTGTAGACCAGAGGCAGCGCCACATCAGCATGCACCGTAGACCAAAGGCCGTGCCACATCAGCATGCCTGGCGCACAGAACAAGAAGCGCCAGCCTGCTGCCTCCACCTCGTGCCGTCGTCCACAACGCCTATGCACAGCCAGCATCCTAGCCAGCGTCGCACCAGGATAATGCCAGCGTCTCGTCAAAGTCGAGTCAGCCTCAAAGCAGCACGGCAAGACTGAATACTTGACTCATTTGAGGCCAGCCTTAATAGCAGTTGTCGAGGCTGTCTGGCCTCGGGTGTTTTCCCACCACAGTCGTCCAGATTGACTCGCAGCCGAGGGCCCGGATTGTACAGTTGCAGACTTCTCCCTTTGACCTGATGCTGTCAGGGTACCTGCATACAAACAAGTGTGTGTGCTTGACCAGCGCCCTGGGCTGGGTACCTTTGGACTTTGACTGTTGGGGTCACGACAGTTGACCACAGTCAACTGTCACACGTCCAGGCCCTGAGTCCTCGTGTGGGGTCCTTTTTGCCCTCGTTTCGGCCTGGGCTGAGGGCGGCCGAGTTGGCCCTCAGTCTTTCCACGAGACATATGGCATGGGTTATTGCAATAATGTGATGTGGCAGCATACGTCAGATACGAGAAATTTTCAGCGGAACCCATTCTAGCAATTTCAGATGTCCGTACTGTTGGTAAAAAAAACACCTTCGTTTAATCTGGTCTGTGTATCAAATACATTTAAAACCAGAAAGATAACAAGAACAGGATGTTTACATAGAGGACCTGTATGCTAGATGATTCATCATCCCTCAGGCCGCGGTAAGTTAGTTATGTATGGACAAACTGGCACGTTATGCTGGACTGCCCAATGTTGTAATCAATGACAGAGATGACATTTTCTCGACCAACTGGACAGATGTGCAGTCACTGCAAATGACCTTCAGGAGATCATCCTGAAGTAAAACAAATGGATAGTTGTGACAAAAACTTAGACCAACGACAGACTCTCTCCTACTAGAAAAGCAGGCATGGCAACTCGGAGGTTGCTGACAAGCGACTACCATAGGTTTTCGATTTGCATTTGAGATGGAGTGCAGTCCACAGTCCACACTTAGTGTATGAGATTGAGTACGGAAACAGTCATCTGAATTCGGACACAAAATTGACATCTCTCACAAAGAGTCACGATACATTATTTTGTTTCAACAGGGAGTCCTAGATGGAGATGAGAATACTGAGGATGATCTCTCCTACGACGTCCAGATTCCTAATCCCCTATTCATGTATCCTGCGATCCATGTCTTACAACATGCACTGATCCAGAATATCTGCACCAAGAAGATACATGCTGCCCGCAACCATGGATGGAGACACCAACTATAAGGTCTGCAGCTGTGATAATGTGTATTGAAAAGTTCAACCCCCCCCCAGAGAGAGCGCTTCTTATTACTTCAGTCATTCTCAAGCCACTTTACCAAGTGTGGAAGAACAAACAGCTAATAATTTTCTTCAACACACCAAGCTTTCGAACTGAGCAAAAGAGAGAATTGAGGGCTTCTCAGGGGACTTTCGAAGCTAAGGGGGAAGGTATGCGAGGATATGGTCCTCCACATGCCTGTACGGGCCCCCAGCTGCAAGCATTGTGCCCGCCCTAAGTGAAGGTGGGCCCTGTACCTCTAAAAGGCCTGAATATTGCAAAATTTGACAGCCCGGGTGGGCTGCAGACAGTTACCACGTGCCAGTTGGTTACAAGGCACCGCATGCGCAACCAAGACAGTAAGCCTTCTAGGCTCTTCTGGACAGCAACGAGGAAGGAGGCCTATCGGCCATTCAGACTGAATCAAACAGCAGTAGCCACGTCGGGCAGTTGAGCCTTCTAACCGAACAGGGCCCAGGGCACGATTGGTTAGGACCCTAAGCGTGTGGCAGCAAGAGCTCCGAGGCTGACACGTTGCACAGCTGCTGGGGACCAATGAAGATGCAGCTGCGTTGTCGCACGCTGGCCACAAACCAATCAGAATGCAGCGAACACTTGTAGCCAGTATCTGAACTGGGTCTGGGCACAGACACTTTGGCCGGACTGGAAGCTACGAGCAGGCCAAGGCAGACAGAAGCTGCCAGCACTTTCCATAAAGGAAAGGGCCTGCCTAGTGCGGAGGCATTTGGGCACTCGCTAGTGCAAGCGGCAGCGCTGCTGGAGCATGCTCTCGCGCCTGCTGCTAGCACTGGGAGGTGCAAGTTCGTAAGCGCGGTTGCGAGAGGCAGGGTGCTGCTCCAAGGCAGCGCCATAGCCAAGCCCTCCATAGTCGGCCTCGGCTTGGACTTAGTCAGTGGGGACTGGCGGTTGTCTTTGTGTAGAGGGAGACGTGAGTGAAGAAGACGAGGATGAGATAGATAGATAGATAGATAGATAGATAGATAGATAGATAGATAGATAGA